CTGACTAAACATTTTAGCACAACACAGTTGTAGCTCTTGTGTAAAACCCGATTTTATTACAGCATAGAATAGTAATACTGTCCAATAGTATGCTAAAGTTTTTTAAAATAAAATATTTAACATCTCAAGTTACCTATTACGAAAACTAAGTTTCTATGAAACAAGGCAAGGGAAAGTACTGGATAAATAGTAATAACTCCATAAGTCGCGATGGGCAATAGGATTGTGTGAAAAGGGTGACAATTTCACCACTTTTTACAATTCATAAATGTTGTCGTTGCTTTACATCGTCTTCTACCATTTCTCAGAAGCCGACTCACAGTGTTAAAATTCGAGTTGGGAATTTTTCCCAATTGAAAAAGGTTTAATTAACGATTGAACCAACGTCTCGGAAGTGCCGTGGACCCGGTGGAACCGTTGAGGAAACTTCTTCTCGTACTGGAGTAGAGTCTCGACAAGAGACAACGCGGTCTGTCTCGTTCATCACCACCCTGCCGATAAATCAGTACACTTTGCGGTTCCCCATCGTGTTAGAACGGTTCATAAGCGGCGTACCGCTTCCCCAGGGTGCGGTTATCTTCGCGTGTACCGGGTGTACATTATCTCAGCCGACGTATAAATATAGCCGGGCGATCGCGGGACGCGTAACAGGCCGTGAAAACGAGCGAACGACGCGGAGGGTTGGAGCCAGCGCATCATCCCTCCGCAGCAGGGGAGGTGGGAGTGGTCGTCGAGTGTTTATAAACGGGATTAGGGGAATCATCGACGGTGTCTCGTGTGGCGCAGGGGTGTGTCTGGCCAGGGGAGTGCACTTTCGTCGAGGTACGACAGGCCTGGCCGTCGGACAGTTTCAATCAGCCCGATTGATCGCGTAGTTATCTGGATTCACGCGTCCCGACGGCCGCATTTATTACCGACGCCTATTCTTCCAACACCGTTCGACTCGTTTCAGAAACAACCAATACGACTACGGATCGAATCGAGCGATTTTCTTAGCTGCAGAAACGCAGAGCGAGTATCATTTTATGGACGAGCATCTAATCTAGTCGATGAACTGTAAAGCTGTTTTCTGACGGTCTTTGTCTACCAGAATTCTAGTACCGTGCGTCACTGAGAGCGTCACTGAGGCATGAAGCAAACATCGAGGGCGAAGTAACACTTTCGTAGCACTGCTTACCATCGTGGGGAACGACTTTGTTCAGAACGATTCCCAAAATTCTGAAAGCCGCGAGATTGCGGGAGGGTTGCGCGACGCATCGTTCGGACGCGCATGGCTACGCGCAGGCTTCTGCTCCAGAAAATATCGCGGGGCCCCGCGAAAAACCATCGTGAAAAGGGTGGGGAGGGGCACGGAGCGCACGAGGGGAGGGGTGAGCTCGCACGCGAGGTTGCATGCGGATCGAGGGACCGCGGGCGGGGCCAACGTCCGGCCATGCCCCCAGCTTCCCCTGTGACGGCCGCGCGGTGGGGACGCGTGGCGTTCGATTGGCCGGGAACCGGTTCGTGAGGTCGTACCTGCATTAATTATTCTAAATAAGTCGTCGCCCCTGCGGCGGCTGATTATAGAGTTTGCAGTGCCATAAATAGAACCCGTTTACAAATCGCGTTCGGGGAATAATGATCGCCGCGGCGAGATCCCGCGTCCCGTTCTTCCTTTTGCAAGCCCAACGAAAAACCCAATCAATCCCCGACGTACGAGCCTCGCGATTGGTCTCGCCCTAGGCGTTTTCTCTTTTGGATCGGAGACCTTCGGTGCTGCGCGCGGGGATCAGCGTGCTTCTAACGAACAAATTAACTGCGTTTGCCGTACGATGGACCGTTCTTGTTGGAATACATTCGAACGGCAATCGGCCGGGAGATGGATGTCAGTGTCTCGATGCAGAAAGCCCTTTGGCTTTTCTTCTTTCGTACCCACTTGCTCGGACTTACCGGGCGAACTTCGAACGAATCAACAGCCTGGACCCGTCCTTCTTGGAAGTCGTTCAAACCACGGATGCGTCAGAATCAACTAAGAAGAAAGTAATTGCATTCTTAATACTGCACATATCTTCGATAACAACAAGCTCGCGAACGAACTCAGATTTTTCAGAGTCGAAAATTACGATTTCATCGGTTCATCGACTAACAACGCACTGCGTGTTTCGGAGACGAGGAAGACTGTGCTGAAAACTAGTTCAGAGGCTCGGTCCCCTCCCTTGGAGGTGTTCTGGCCTGAAAGTGGCGTAGAATGCGGCTCCGCTGTTAGACGGGGCCTCTATTGATGGATAGACACGTTACGGTTATTTATGGCGGCTATCTCTATTATTGTTCTTACACGAATCGAGCCAGGGATCGTTTTGTAGTTCACGTGGCAGCTGGTATCCCTCTAGGTGTGGTCATTAATAAAACCGTAGACCGTAACAACGATCTTACACTATTTCTCCGCGAACTTGACGTTGGCGGAACAAAGGAATTGCCACCCGTACGCCCGGCGACCAATCTGGTCGCGGACGGGCAAGAAATTTTCGTCGTTGTTGCCGCAACTGCGTCGCTCGGTAAACGAATTAACCGCGAAACAGGCGTTGTATAACGCGAAAAAACTGGCAAACATGTATCTTATCTCGCGTAGTTGCACTATTTGCATTACTGATTAAAGGCGACATTAAAATTTTACTTTAACGAACGAGTCGTATTTCCATGATTATCGTATCTCCGGCACGATTATCTCGTACAAAATATCGTGCGTGTTGCCGCGATTAGCGGTTTGTAAAACGAATCGAGTCGAAGCATTATTTCTAACATCGGTGCGAGAATTTTGCCAGAAATCGTGTAACGATTGGTCAAACGTCCGCGTTCGCTTCACACGTGAACGCACCTTAATTGCAGTTAAATACGTCCCGCTACGTGCGCGACCTCCTTGTCGCGGGACGAATTCGATTACGATCGTTAATTGCCACGTTTTTAACGACGGCTGCTTATAAGTCTTGCGTGCTCCTAATGCATAGGCTCGTTCCTTTCATGTCGTGAGCAAATAACTTTTCCACCGAAGAAGAGAGTCTCATGCGATTAGACGTTGAAAGGCTTAATAGCTGTAATTTTACCTGCACCAGTGAATGGTCGGGTATCTCGTTGCTGTTTCTAACGACGTTAATTACGCTAACTGTCCAGGTACGCGCGACAGGATCGCGGCAATCTAAACTCGCGCGATAACGCACTAGCCGTCGTTATTAAGGGCAGCGTTCGAGAAAACAGAAGCGTTCGCCACGATGGAACACAGAAATTTAATTATTAGCAGACTGGTCGAGAATTTTGTAACTTTATCAGCCGCGAAGACCCGGCTAAATCTACGTTTAACGGTCACGCTTTCTAGAACGATTTTAAATTCTCTGAAGTGAGTCGTCACGTGTATCGAACGATCAACGTCAAGAATACAAACCCTTTGGGGGGAACGCCGACTGTCACAAATCCAGCACCGAACAAACAATCGATTCGATCCCTCGGATCGAACACGGCCTAACGATCGATCGACCGTAAAATCACGTGACAGAATGTGGACGGAAGTACGGAGGCAAGGAGAGAATGGATGCTTGGAAAGGGAGTTTGGCGGAGCAACATCTGTCGCGGGATGGATAATACATTTGTTCGTTAACCGTCACGAAGCCCCACCCCGAAAAAAAGGCGTCGGAACGGATATATGCTCGGGCAAATTTTTGTATAAAGCAATTTCGACGTCGGTACGATAAAATCCACGTCAGCGAGAGAACGCTTGTCGACTCGAAGAAATGAATTAGCTGCCTCCTGGATGGAACGCGTGGTGGGGAGGAACAAAAGTATGGAGTAGTGGGCATCGAACAGTGGGTGGGGAGGCAAACTGGGCGTGGCGCGCCGGGGAGGGGCGAGAATGTGGGCGAGATCTCGCACGAGCCAGTGGGGGGGGATTGAAACGGGGCGGGGAGAAGCTGCCGCTCTTCTTGACGTTCACAGTGGCGCAGATACTTCTGATTCCTCGACCGAAATTCCGAGACAGACGAAACTTTGATTCGATAACACGAGGAATGGAGAAAAATTAATTTTTAAATTATCGTAGAAAAGTAAGAGATCGTAGAAAAATAATGGGTAAGGGGTAAAATACTTAAAATTCGGCATGGCCTCGAAGTCTATTGCTCTGAGAATGACTGATTGTTTCAGAAGTATATAGAAAAACAAGAGAGATGGCTTTTGGAGCAGCGGCGTTTGAGGGAGAAAGGGATTTGCGAATAGGACAAAAATCTGGCCGCTGTTGAAACGAGACTGGAGCGTTGCAGCGGCATCGATCGTAGTAAACTCTAGCTCCTGCCCCCTACTATCGGTGCCACTGCTGGTGGGGATGCCCCGTCGGGAGGGAGTAGGGTAGACCTTACGGCAGGGGGCGGAGCCTGTGACCGAAGAGTTAATAGAGATACAATCGAGGGTGTCTAGTGCACTGCACTCCAGGCTGGGGCGTAGGAGGAGTGAAGGGGCGATGGGGGGCGGAGGGGAGAGCGGTAAGTAGGGACCACAGGTCCCCTAGTTTAGACATCACTGAGCGACGGATGGACAGCCAGTCAGACCCGTCACAGCACTCGCTCGAGTCCTCGGAAACCTCGGGAAAAGCCAATACGAAGGAGACCGTCTCGAGCTTGGAGCAGATCCAGCGTCGAACCGTTAATCTCGCTTCGGGCAATTGGGACACCGGACGCGACGACGTTTCGCAGTTTGACGAACCAGCCACGTGAGCGACACGGCGCAGCATCCTCGGAGAGGTTACGCAACAACGCGGGGAACGATCCGTGTTTACAGACGATCGGTGAAGAGGGTACAGTGACACGTGCCAGTGATTATACAAGACGCTTTAAAGAGAGAACCTTTAGCTTGTGTATCAGTGTTCCGACTAGTGACATTCCTTCGATAGACAGTTAAATTTAATTACGAACCAACGGGCGAAGTGACAGGTGTATTCTTGTGCTCCTTCGCGAAGATGACGACAGAGGGCTAGACCAGACCCGAAACACCAATTATCGTTGGAGATTCTTACGCTGGGCATAGAAAGGACAAAAGATCGAAAGATGAGCGTTGCTCTGGTGACGATGGACTCTGCGTACGGTCTTCGACTGGGAATCGGTGGTCACCATCACCATCATCACCACCACTCTCATCGAGTGAGATCCCCTGACAACCACGTGGTCCCTCATCAAGAACAACAACAAGACCACAAGGACATCGAAACGCCCTTGAGATTCAGCGTGGTGAACATTCTGAGACCGGACTTCGGTCGGGAGGCGATCCTCAACACGAAAGCACCGAAGCAACCCACTCTGACGACCGGACACTCAACGACGATTCCGATTCCGATCCCGCGACACAGTCCTCTGTCGTTGCCGCGAGATCTGAGTTTATCCTCGAACAGATTGTCGCCCACGAGGCCTCAGGCGACCAGCTTCTCGGTGCACAGAGACAGGGATCTGTTCTCGACCCACTGCGGATTGACGTCGCCTCTGCAGAGGAACAGCGGCCTTAGCAGAAGCGGAAGTCTCGAAAGTTTGGCCAGCAGCAGGAGTTCCGTCACTGGAAGTTCGGTGACCGGAGCACCAACTTTGGGCTCCACGTCGTCCACCATCAGCGGCGATTCCCTCAGCGGGGACAGCAACTCTGGCAGCACAGCTAGCACAGCCTCCAGTCAACAGAGCGCGCTCAACAGTCAGAGTCGTTGGCCCGCGTGGGTCTACTGCACCAGATACTCGGACAGACCGTCCTCCGGTAGGTGTTCCAGCTTTTCTATTCTAATGGGAATCAACAAGTCTGATCGATGGCCGGCTCCGACGACCGTAAAAATCGATCGGCCACAGTTTTCGCCGTATCCGCGTACCTCGATAGACAGATACGTCTTGGTTAATCGCGCTATCAAGGAAGTCGCGGTCGAGTCCGCGCGGCCATTCTCCGTATCCGCTTAATCAATTAACTTTTAGCGACCGTTACATCGGGAAACCAGTTTCCTATGTAAATCAACGCGCGTTTCCCGGGACGGGGACGCTATCGAAAAATCGCTCGGCGCATAAAGCTCGCCTAATTACAGCGGCGATTCGATTCTATAAAGAAATACCAGTTTCCTGAACCCCAGAACAGTCGTTCCAGTTCCGATTTAGTGTCACCGGCTGCTCCGTGTTCGCGATCTTAACTGTCACGGACTGCCAGCCGGCTGCATAGCTCATGTATAATCGCGAGTTTGAACGCTGGTTGCCGCGGGTTGAACGTACCACTCGATACCACCTGCACCCGTTCGCAGAACTTAATTGTCCGCAACCTATATCCGCCATCTACCCTTTCTGCAATCGCCGTGTCCCAGATACAAGAGCTGTGCTAAGGTCCTGCGCCCAGGGTGGTCCCGCGCCACTCCACGATCGCGTTACTAATTACCGCGAATCGTGATCCACGCTTCCGCACGACGCTAATTAAAGACCGCGTCGAAGGGTGATCGATCGCGGATCGGTAAATCTCAATCGGGCATGGAATCGGAATTTCATGGTTTCTTCCAACTTTGATCGTCTATCCTCGACAATCTAGATGTTAATTCTGAACTGAATATAATTACCTCGGGGTTGCTCGAACCCCTTTTTTATGGGGGAAAAAGGGAAAATTAGAATCTGGGTTGCTATCCTTCGTAAGTACAAACATATTAAGAAATGAATAGAAATGTAGATAAAGTTTGTAATGGAGTTCAAATAAAATAAATATCAAAATACGGGGGATGGAAAATGAAAATTTGTAGTCAATAAACTAGAAGATTTTAAGTATAAATAATTAAGTAATAAGTTTACGATAGTTTAATTTTGTTTTCTGAAAAAAGTAATATGTCGAAGATTGGTAATGTGATACGAAACCTCAGAGTCACAGAATATTATAAATACTTAAATAAATAAGTGAAAATAATAATTTTGTAGCCTCGTAAAATAAAACTTCATAGACAAATTATTATATTTTTCAAGTCTTCTTTTCTTACGTATTTTCCTGTTTATCGAGTAATTTTGTATTAATTTATACACACAAGAGAGCTATTTTCTCACTGTCTCAGGAAACATTTTCATTGTATGATAATTTTCCATAGATTCGGGACACAATGGTTAATCGTTTTCAATTACACCTACCTTATCTTGCACATACATAAGTGGTAAATGGATGCATAATTTTTCCGGTTTTAATAGAATAATGAAAGTTAAACGCATCTGAGTATTTTTCACGTTTTGCGAATAACTGTTGTTTCATAGTTGTTCTTGCAGACCTCAGATCGAAACAACTTGAAGTAAACTATTTAATTCTATTTTTAATCGATTGCATTATTACTATAGAAACATTCGTATATTCTAAAAGTTTTTGCATTCAATTATTTGCTCACAATGTACTTTTAGCAGAATTCATATCTTGTCATGTTATATTTCTTAGTTGGTAATAGTTAGTACGCGAATTAATATTGAAAATTATAATTCGATATTTAAAGCATCTATTATTACATGTCAAACCTTTTACCAAGAACAAATTAATTCGTTGTAGGTCTTTTTATAAGATAGTGTGAAAGGTACAGTTGAAGCAACCGGTTCTTTAAATCATACCTGTCGGCTTACAGAATGGTAGTTCCTTTAAAAGTGGTAAATCTGCGTATGAAAATAATGCAAAATATAATTAAAAAGAATTATTTTACTAATACGCATTTTATCAGTAATGAAATCAAATATCCAATATGTATTAATAATTGTTAAATAACGTCTATGTATATTTACTATAAGATATTCGATCGATAAGAAACAAAAGGTTAATAGTTATTAAATAAAGAATTTATAATTATTTCGTTTTGTCTACTTTTCAAAAAAATATTGGCCCAATTTTTATATCAATTTTAATATGCACGTAGAATAAACTTAAAATGTTTTACAATAAATTTACTTTTGTAGAAGCTCAAGTATGTATAATAATACTATACTGTTACAATTTTATTGTTATTATAAAGTATATAAATACTGTAAAAAAAAATACCAATCAATTGTTAAAAATATTTAACGTAAAACAGAATATCATTTACCACTTTCTTATGTGTACTTTTCATTACTCTATTTTGTATGTATTCGCCACTAAATTGTTGCTTATATTCAGGAATAATAAAGCAATCGAAAAGATACGATTTAAGTGCGCTGTACGCATTAGGCAACTTTCTCCTACTGGTAAACATGAAAATGCAGTATTCAGCTTAAGTGAACAGTTTATGGCAATGATGGCAAATCGTAAATCTCTTACGTGTCAAAATACATTCTAAAATAATGAAATTAAGAACAAATAGCAATAACGGTTTTTATTTATACTATTTGTAACATATAACGTTTGACATTTTCACGACCAATGGCTTGCTAAATATGTATCTTTGATACGATCTCACTACATCGATCAATGTGACAATAATTGCCAGTGCACAGCCAGTAATCATGATTATCAGGCATGATTTTACGAGTTAAAAATTTGATAATCCATCAAACAAATTCTTACCATGCAATTAAAAATGAAATGCATTCTCTTGCATCAATTATTCGACAATAATATTCTCATATCTAACAGTAATTTACATCATTATTTCACAGCGATTTGTATCATTCATAAATCATTTTCACCAAATTTGTGATATAATTAAATAAAATGGAAATTTCAGACGTGCAAATTGAAAAATCTTTGGTGACTGGATGAAATCCAAATAATATTTTTACCTTTCTTTAGTTAAATTGGAAACCAGAATCTGGGTGCACATTTATTTATTATTGTACAATGGTTAAAAGACCTATAAAATTGTGATTAATCAAACCAATAGAGTTATTGGAATAAACCTGAAATTAAATAAGAGTCATGCATACTTTAAGAAAATTTCAGATTCACTTCTTATGATTGCAGTAGAACCTCGATTATTGCACGAAAGCCTCGCTCACGGTGTTAATAAGTGGAGGGGATGGTCGCTAAGCTACAAGTAAGGTTGAAGCTTGCTCTATTCTCGTTGGATTGGTTACCTTAATTGTTACAAGATTTGTTTCCTCACTATAATATTTCTATACTATTGCAAGTCCTTACGTTTTCTCTTGGGTCTACCCTTTCATCCAGTCACTGATTTTCCAGAAACACGAAGCTGCTATAAAATATTTAACGCGACAATTTTCTCACGTTTGCCCCAGGAACCGCCATGTTTGGAACCAGGTGGACCAATATAGTAAACTATTAAAATGTACGGGGAAAAAGCTCACGCATCGAACGTATTAAGAAAGCTAGCTCGATTCCCAGTTTCCCAGCGATAACGCGCTCTAGCGCGTGTCCCGATGTTATGTGCCACTTATAAATATTCATCGCGTCGAACACGCGCCGAGGCCAGCGGTCACGACGTCGAATATTTTTTTGTCTGCTATAGGCGCGCACCCAATTTGGAAACACCGTAATAATCTAGGCCCGGCCGATAGCCGCGACAGATAAAGCCGCGTGCGGTGCACCGATACACGTTGCAAAAGAAAATTATCCGCCGGCCGGCAAGATAGCCAGCGAGCCAAGTACGGCCTCAAAGGGACCTCATTCTGTTCCGCTTAATTACCATTTACATACTTGTCCCGCGGAAGATTGGCCCAACTTCGTCGATAAATCGTCCGCCGTGTACGCGTCATTTGTTTCTACAGGATTTACGGATCGTGGGTGTTCGAATGTATTGCACGGACAACGAAAGATCACCCCAGAGTTCAAGCCACCCTGATATCGTGACTTATGGGCGGTTAGTTACGGAATAAAATTTTGTTGGAGCGTGTCATAAATGCAACAATGTTTAAAGTTTGTTTAATAACTAACTTTTTAATTTTTTAATAACTGGAAGGTTCTTGTTAAGACCAAGTTGGAAGCATGTTTTTTGATTCTTTTACTATGTTATCATGTTGCGGGTGTATAATTATTTAGCAGCAGTTAAACATACTTTGAAGGAAACGTTTCAATCATTATACTGTCACATTACAAGCGAACAGGTGTACAATCAAAAAGAATAGAATATTTTCCATGGCAATAAGTAACAAGATTTACATAATGAAATATATATTTATAAAATAGTATAAAGAATCGGAGTATTCGAGTGTCAAAACTAAAACTGTGCACAATAATAGTACAAAAATAAAAAGATCAAGATGGAGACCAGATGTGCCAGTCAAATCTGCCCTAATATAACTTAAATTGTTCCACTAAGAAAATTGAAAAATAGAAATGACATAGAAAGGCTAATTTTTTACGAAATTTCCAATTGTTGTGTTTCAGGTCCACGAACGCGGAGGGTAAAACGGACGCAAAGCGCCAGCAAGGCGGCCTCCCCCGATGAGAAGAGACCCAGGACCGCGTTCAGCGCGGAACAATTGGCCAGGTTGAAGAGAGAATTCGCGGAGAACCGATACCTCACGGAAAGAAGAAGACAACAACTCTCGAGGGACCTGGGTTTGAACGAGGCTCAGATCAAGATCTGGTTCCAAAACAAGAGGGCGAAAATCAAGAAAGCCAGTGGCCAGAAGAACCCTTTGGCGCTTCAGTTGATGGCTCAGGGCCTCTACAACCACTCGACGGTGCCCGTGGACGAGGATGGCGAGGAAATCGTGACAGGGTCCAATCATTCTCACTAAGGGCGCGGGGTCTATCCACTTTCCCCGAGTGCCATCTTGTCGAAAATACATGGTTATATATGAAAGTGAGTATGGTCGATTGCTTCTCGACTATAAGGATATGTTTACAAACTCTAGCCAGGGGGAACCAATCGAGTTGGATCAAAGTTTTACATTTACAGAAAAGGAGATAAGAATTTTTATATGTAATGAGTTCTTGGTTTAACATGTCGAGTATCACAGTAGTTTTTCTACGTTTTGGGGATGAAATAATTCAACGATATAATTTTATAATATTCCCAATGACAGGAATATTATTTTACAATTTAAGAGATTAGTATTAAATGTAGGCGTTTTAACGTATTGACTGCCATGTTAGATGTTAAAGAAAATAAATCTAGACAGGATTCTCGAATTTTATCGAGGCTATAAAAATAAATTCTATGAGAAATTGTAGGTATGCTACTTTCCAATTGTTTGAAAACAAAGTCTCGTGTTCGTGAACAATTAATGAAATTTGTAAGTTAGAAACAGTGGTCTCTAACATGTTAATAATATTTTTGGCGCAAAGAGCAATATCAGTGCCTTTTCTCCAAGATCTGCTAGTTGGAGATCACGGTAAGGTTTATTTAACATATCACAGTAATAATGTACTAATAAATAACCGAGTAAATGTCGAGGATCTTCTAGATAAACATTTATGACAAATTCAACCAGGAATAATTGCCCTTTGTACCAAAGATATTATTCATTACCCCCAAGAATTAAAAAAAATATATATTAGAAGTTTCTGAGAGGTAAACGATCCAGACGATAGTTTGATAAAGCTCTGACCATGTAAAACGAAAAAACTCGGTTCTTTCGCCCCCCTGGACGTCGCGACAATTAAAAGAACTCGCTCGAGAGGAAACCAGTGTCTCTGTATCGTGATTTCGTGAAATCTTCATCGACTTTCAGGACTGTGCTCGAAATCGATCGACGGGACAGTGATCGTCCAGGTGCGTTAAGTAATTACCAAATAATTTTCTATTCGACGTGAACGTAGCCACGCGAGTGAAACGGCAAGACTTTTAAAAGGAAAAGCACGATGGTCGTCACAGCTTGTGTTTCTCGTTCGTACGATCGTACACCGCCGACTGAGACTTTATATTTATCGACTATGTACGCGTATCGGGGCGCAGATACGATTCTGGTACGCGAGCTCGATACCGATCCTTATCGATTAGACGCTTAAATTATTTATTTCTCTGTACATAGTTGTAAATAGGACTGGTCGTAATGTGCATATGTATGATACGAGATAAAGTTAATAGCCGCGCGAAGATTCTATATATATTATCCTCAATGTATGAGTGCGCACGGTCGCGTGAACACGAAACGATCTCACACTGTATATTCCTAATTATTGTACCAGCGTACGTACGAATATATATGTATATGTATATGTTACACACGTGTAGACAGTCTCGGAAGGTACGCGTATATCCCAGTGTCTCACAATAAGTGGTCGATATAATCTATGTAACCCGCTTACATGTTGCCACCGATTAAATCGAATTAAAAATACGGTTTCGTTCTTTCTTTCTTATTTGCCTGTCCTCGAATTCCTCCTGGCGATTCTTCCAGGTGTACATCGCAGCTCGTAAGTATTTACTCACTAAAATTACTCTTCTCAAATGTTTGACGAGCCCCTCGAACCGGTGTTATCATCCAAATTGTTTGTTAACTCGGATAAAATAAAATAATATTTCAAATAATTGCAAATACATTTAGAGATCTGTCAAGATGGCCTACTTACTTCTTGAAGTTGAAGAAGTCTGTTTTTGTTAGTCAAACGTAATTGGTTTTTATGCATTTGAAGTTGTACCAACTTGTACAATGGTATCCATTTTATTTTTATTATATTTCTAATTGAAAACCGTCTTTAGTAATTTGAGTCCAATCAGGTATATTTTTATCTAGTTTAAATTTTTTAGTTACAATTTCACCCTTATCCCTTTAGTATTTTTGAACTTGGTTTCAACTTTATTAATAGTGCACCACTATTTTATATTTTCTTTTCATATTTTTATACGAAAAATTTTTAGTTTTATTCGACTTACTGGAGATACATTGAAACGAAAGTTTGATCAAGGAAATGGGTTCCCAATATTTTCTTAATCTCACAATATTAAATTATTTTATTGGCAACACGATTCTTAAAATGGAAATTTTAATTTTACATTAATTAATATATGTTATTTGAGTCGACCGAATTTCAATACATTAAATAATTTTGAGAAAAATCAGCCAATTCCTTCCTCTCTCTTTAAAACGATACAACCCGCCATTAAACGTTCCAAGACTCCGAAATGCTTCTACGCGCGGTGAAATGCTCGCCAGCAAAATTGTGCATTACATTGTGCATTACATCGGGAATTTAATTGCCGCGAGGGACAGAGATCACCGAGAATTCCGGCTCGTACAATACCGCGTTTCAAATAAATTCAGGGATCGAGGAATAATTGCGAATTGCCACGGCGAATTTCGACTTTCGACAAATTTTCCCTCGCTCGTCGCTGCTTTGGTCCGCGGAATGAAAAAAAGGAATCGAATAAACGCGAACATTTACGGGTGAACGGTTCCGAGGCGAAATCAGGGAAGCAGCGTAATTAGTAGAATTTACGTGGCCGAGAAATATGCAGGATCGCAGAAGGTCGGGACGGCACCGACGCCTCCTGCACGCCCCATTCCCGTTTGACGCACCGTGACGCGCTAATTGATCCCGAATTAACGGGCCACCCGTTATCCCGAGCGCGACCGACAAATGGAACGCGCGAAGGATGACAGTGCGCGACTATTTAGTTCAAACGCGTTCGCGCACATGGCAGTGGCGATCGACACTCGGATAAGCGATACGAGCACCTGTTAGACGCGCTGCCATACGCTGCCGTTCACCAACAGATTTACAAGCCTGCCTTTTTCGCTCGACGAGGCGAGATTTGCCTCTTAAACACGACCGCCAATCGGAGAGAGAAACAAACCCTAGAAAGACCGACAGCCATTGCCCAACGATTTCGACGAAACTGATAAAGTTGTAAATCAATAACAGAAGTGTGGGATTCCTTGATCGATAGAACAATATCGATCCAAAATAGGAGCAATTTTAACTCGTTATTGCTTAATAATAAGAGTAGGACTATTTAATTAACGGCATTTAGATCAACAGACAGCCTTGGAAAGTTTGGTAAAATAAAATTTAAATTGCAATTCTGTTTTATATAAATTCTGTCACACTATAATGTTGAATCGAAAGATATGGGAGGGGGGAGACGAAACTTTGGGACCGAAAAAAGTCCGTGTTCTTAGATAATAATTTTCCCATTACAAAGAGTGCAAAATTTAGCTTATTATTGCTCATAAATAACAGAGTGGGACTATTCAATCTTCACCATTTTGATCAACAGACAGCCTTGGAAAGCTTGTTGAAATAAAATTAAAATTGTAATTGTATGTTTTGTATAAATTTTGTCAGACTATAATGTTGAATCAAAAGATCTCGAGGGGACTTTGAAACCACTATCTAATTAAATTTGCAAGCAAAGCATGTTTTCTTAGGTAATACTTTTACCATTTTAAAGAGTGTAAAATTAGGATGTTTGGATGGCTCGACATACGAATATCGGATAACAGGAATATCGAACTACAAAAGAATCTAGGTACGATCTAGTGCCATCAATGAGGCTCGAACGTTCCCGAAATGAACACGAAATTTCCATTTGCTGAAATTTACGCGTCCAACGGCCGATCCCGAATAAACTGGACGCGGCGAACGGTATTAATTGTCGTTAATTTGAACGCTGAGGCCACAACGAGATTCAGCGTCCAAGGGATACAACGATACTCTCTTCCGGCGTTCGAAAACAACACGCGAACAGTAGCCCGTACCGGGGATAAATTACAGAGTCGTTGTCGTTGGCCATTGTATTTAACCGTGACGATCCCTAATTGGTAATTCTATCACCGACCCGTTGCATTGTCCGACGTAATTGCGTGCAACGGTATTTTCGCGAGTAAAGGTAAAATCGATTTCACAAACTCCCCGACTCTTTATTGAGAAGGACGTGCTTGGCTTTTTAGGAATTTATCTCAGCTACAATGTTCACGGCCATTTATTTTTAACGAAAATTCTCTGTTTATTTGTAATTCTCGATATTATTATCATTAAAGTCTGAACTCCAGTCGAAAGAGATTGTTAACTAATAACACTACATTATATGGTTCGAGAGAGTACAAGGTTCATAAAAATATAAATTGAAAACGGCACTGACAAATGGTTTGGTGAAAATTATCTTTTTTAAGTATTGTCAACGACCCTTTGATGGAAATTTTTTTATTCGTATATAAAGAAATTTTCCCTTCGTTGGAAAGTACGTTTCATAACAATGTCTATTTTTCTTTTCTTTTATCCCTCTCATTTTTCGATGAACTTCGACATTTCTTGTCCTCCGATTGAATTTACAATAACATTTTTAAATTTTTATAACATTTATGACATACAATTACACAATATTTAAACAAAAATAAATTTTATCTATTACTTATTTGTTTTTTTATGAATATAAAACCATTTGATAATAATTTAACTATATAAATAATTTTAATATTCAACCCATTCCAAATTCTACGTGTTAGCAAACACTCATTTTCGTCATTTTCACGTTCAAAACAATATTCGTCATTTAATACGAACGAGAATACAATAACTTATTATGTAATAATTTAGGAATAAAAATTGTCAAATTTTAGGAGCATTTCTCATACTTAGTTTCGATCAACATAGAGCAATTATAGATCCTACCTTTCAATTTAAATAAATTGTGCAGCCATACTAGGCCTCGTTCGATTTAAAAGACTTGTTCCATATACATACTAGGAGAACTCAACTTTTTACTGTACTCCTTCATAAGACTAAATATGGTAACAATGTATCTATACATAAAATATGCAATAATGCCAGTGACCGCTGTAACAGAGTTGAC